TAGGTACTTGTATAATCCTGGACTTAGCAACCTGCGTCGATTAGTACCAAACTGAGCACTGCTTTGTAGGTCTATGGATACTTTAAATACGTAATCTGATTATAAAGATTAAGATAATTATACCTACTTGAATAAAGATTATTTTGATTTGAATTCAAACCTTAAATTTGTTTTCTGTAGTCCAATACAAATATGAAATGTTTATATTTTTTGGTACAATAGAACCCATATCCTTTAGAATGCGAAGTGATGTATTAACCGCGACACCACCAGATCTTCAAAATAGTCGTTACCATCTAAAGTAAGCAAATATTATTTCGCTATATATATATATATATATAATCGAAATATATGTAATGACAGCGGAACAAGCTCGAACTCCAGCTGAGCAACTGTACGCCAAAACACTTGGGAATTCGCTAGTAACAAGTTTCCCCCTGTTTGACCATTAAATGAATAAAAGATGATTTATATCAAAGCTTTACGTTTTATTATTAAAAAAGGGACTTCTTTCCAAAACAAATTTTCATCGTGAGTTTTTTATTGAATATTTAATGCATTTAATAAATTATTCATGTAATACCTTCGGTTCTATTTACACGGGAAAAACAGATTTTACTATTGTTTTTGGGAAATTACACCATACCTTACCAGTTTTAATCCGTTTTATAAATACACTTGCGTACCTGCAATGTTTTAGCTAGTAATAAATGCGCCGATTTCACTACAAAGCACTGTAAAACATTGTATTTAGTCCTCATTTCATTTCCATGTAATACAGCAATGTGTATTTCTGATCTGATGCCTGTGTTAAATATATTAGATAGGTTCTCCTATCTAAAAGTTTCTTCAATTGATTACATAAATTATTTATCAAATTATGTAATGCTAGATTTTTCTGCGCTTTCGAATCAGGATTCTTGGGAGAGGGTATTTTGCCCGCTTTATTTTACGTCACCGAATATAGAATATTACCTTAGTCCATGAACGCATGTGTTGTTAACACATTAAGGATACCCAAGGGCATCACAGTGGGGTTGTTCATACGTGACGATTTCCACATGCATACTGTTTATGTCGTGAGCAGTCATATTCTTTACGGTTTCATTAAAAAAATGTGAACCAATTTTAGCTTCATTAATTGAAATCTGAATTCTAAAATTAATAATTATTATAAGACCTCCGACAAAGTAGACCGACGATCTGGTCAATATCGCTGGAAAGCTTTGGATGCGATCAGCGTAGGACCGATAGTGGTGGAGATTTTTGGGGGAGGCCTTTGTTCAGCAGTGGACGTCTTCCGGACTGAAATGATGATTATCATCATCATCTATAATAATAAAATTATTGTAAACTACTCAGTTGTTCAAATAAAACATAAAATGTATACATGCATGATATTTTATTACACTGTACAATAAATATTGGACTGTATACAAAATATAGAGAAATTCCAAAAGATATTGTCAACACTCTAGCATACAACAACATGAGTGTAAAATGACTCCCTAACATATGATTAAAATTCGTAACATATAACTATAGTAACCATTTATCCAGCGGGCTCGGGATATCTTGTTTGTACAAAAAAATATCCTATAGGCCTACCCGGTACACATATTATTTATGGAGGATATTTCTCGAGCAATACAAGAATTGGCACCCTAAGTGTAATAACATTACTCAGAAACTGTAGGACTCTTTACTGTTTATTCAAACATGATAGTTTTTTCTATTCTAACGTTGTCACAGTTTCAACTTCACCAGATGGACATCCGATGGTATACAACAACAACTGTTAAATTAAATATATCACAGCAAAACTTAATTCTTAATGTATTCATATATATATTTCTCATTTATCAAATTCATTACATGTAGAAAGTTAAATAATTCATGATTCATAATGAAAGAAAAAAGAAATTCAATTGATTGCTTCAAATATCTTAATTAATAAAATAGACCTGGTGCACAGTATGTTTAAATATAGTAAAACCTGTGGTTTTACTTCATTCAAACGTAAACGTCCTACAGTTTATGAGATTGTACCTTCACAATACCTTCGACTTAGTCGCTATTTGAGACCCATGTTCCAACCTCACTAGCACTTACACTAAGTACGGTCACACATTCTGTTTAGTCGAACGATTGCCGTCTGTCGATTGGCGCATTCTGTACTACGCCCCGCCCTCCTTGTAAATGCGCCAATCGGAACGGGAGTCGCAAAGGATAAACGTCCGACAAACCGAATATGTGTGCCCACTGTAATACATAATGTACGATCGTCCAACGATCTGTTTGTAATCTCTCCTATCATATACGTACAAATAAATAAGGTTGTTCATTTAATATTTGTGAAATGGCCAAATTACTTTAACTTAATAATTTAATATCTTCAGGTTCAGTCAACATTAGACATGTAGTATACGTACAAAAAAAATGGCATGGCGGAATGTAATATACCTTTTAGAAATAAATTTGGTCATTATTATTTATATTACGAAATTGAAATTTTACCTATATTATATACAATTTTTTTTATCAATTAGCATAACATAGTAACGTTTCCTTGCATGGCACATGTCTCTTTCTAGAAGTGGATATTAGCCTAATATTACCATGATAGTCAATAAGATTCATATAGTCTTTTATTTTATTTTTTTCTATGTATACTGCATTTTAAATAATTTTTCCACAATACTTTGTGTTTAATATAAAAAACTGTACGTTTGTATATTAACGTAATCATTCTGATTTTTAGAATATTATACATTTCAATTTTAAATATTCCCGACAGTAATATCTCATGCTGACTGTACCTACTAAAACGACACACAATATATACAGGGCTAGTCACAAAGTATACCAAGCCGAAAGTCTAATAGAATGCTCATGAAAATGAACCATATCCACGAAGAAACAAAGTCGAAATTAGATATATGACGGTTTTAAAAAATATTTTTAATGTTCCACTTTACTTTCTGGGAAGTTATACTATTTACGAGTAACCCTGTATAGTAAATCTATCTATCTATCATAAAAACGAATACTTTAAAACAAATATGGAACAGCGTACTAATAAGTAATATTGCTTTTTAACAAACCTTGAGCAAAAAAACGGTTAATTTGTAACGACGTTTACGGTATCACAAACTAAAACTGGTTTCGTTATCTCTCCAATTCTATACCACGATAACTATATTTAGCAATTCTGTAGTATTCTCTGAGTATATTAGTGGTATTTGGGTACAAATTTGGCCAATCACAATTGTTAATACTTCTTAATCGATCGATTTTCTTTTAAGAAAATCACTGCAATTCCATCACGACGTTATAATAAATATCATAGAGTTGGATTATATTTACAGGTCAGTATAGTGATGGCTTCCCTTAAAACGGTTGAATATAACATATATTCCAAAAACGATTTTTTTTACATTTCTTAATTATATTGTTTTTAAATATTCAAGCATAATGTGCATAGCATAGCATAGCAGGCTATTTTATTATAATAAAACATAGACAGAGTTATGTTTCACCAGAAAATATAAAATGATTTTTTTATGTGTACATACATGTCTTAACATCATTTATACCAGGATATTGTAACTATTTTCCTATAATCGTATCAAAAATTTCTATTTTTGGATAAGCAAATAGAGATTCTATTTGCCTATCTCTACATTATTATTTCAGGATATTGCAGTGATGTTCCTAACTTTATATCATCTCTTCGCGTAAATGGTGTCAAAACTAAAAAAAAAATATTAAAATCGATTATTATTGTGCTACTATTTTCAGATTATTACACTACATCATACTACCGTAATCAGTGTTAACATAATCGTTTCGCTTAAGAAGCAAAAAGTGAAAAATTTCTGTATGCAAATTTCAAAACACAATTTATTGGCGTACGTCAAAAAACTTTTCGCGCCAATTTCATTTTTTAGTTGTGACACTATTCCGACTGCGAAGAGATGTATAATTAAATAATTCTTAAGTCATGTTTAGAGTATTTACAGATTTTATGAGTACCCAACACACGCAAATTCAATCGGCATTCAAATTGCCCATTTCAATAGCCATCTAGATCCGACGTAGCCTCCAAACACATGTCGACATTCCTAATTTACCTCCATAAAGTACAATTCTATTTCCGATGTAAAATCTATTCCATTACTTTGTCTATGGTCACTATGGCTACCATTTTAATTGTAAGTATTATGCCTCTCAGGACATTCATAATAGCGCTTGTAACTTTAACCCTTCCTTAAGTAATAAAAATGATGATGATGTTGACGATGATAAGAGGAATGATGATAACAATCAAAATAGCTCATTCTGTCTATCACTTTGTCAGTCTATTCATTACATTTCTACACTAAATCTCTAAATCGATTTGAATGAAAATTGACAGACTAACCCATTAGATAAAAAAGTTGATTTCAAACCGAGTCTGTAGTTATTTTCCAGTTAATCTATACAAGCTCATACATACAGAGATAATATGCAAATGCGAATAAAGCTTCCAAAAATAAAACACAAGTACAAAAACAAAAACAATTGACGTATTGTTCTTATTTTGTATCTCTATGAGTCTGTCGCTTAGGTATTTACCCAAAATGTTATTTTCATACCTACATCTATCTATGTACTAACATTTATCAGACTTATCCATTTTAATAGTTTTCGACATCCTCGATATTATAACCATCCCTAGTACACCTATTCTAACAATGCCACTGCCATATACAAAACTATGCAATTCCTATACAAATTTATACTATTCCACCCGATAAGGGTTGTATTGTTTTTATTGCTTCCTATCATAAACTCTGGATAAAAACATACAACTACACTATGTCACCATAACATCGCCTCCGCACCTTTCCTGAACGAGCATAGGAATTAGATTAACAGGTAACTAACAATCATTCAAGTTACAAGCGCTATAGCGAACTCTCCTTAATTTGACCTTTGGTATCATTTATGTTAGTTCTGAGTGTATTAAAAATGTCTACTTTCTATTTTCTATCTTACAGAAGTGAGCAGAATATTTGTTCGAACACTTAACCAATATTATTCGTGTAACTTCTTGTAGCATTTTGTCTCTACAGACAGCTATTTGATACAAACACGAAATTATATTTTAAAAAATCATTTTCTAGTGGTTGGTTAATTAGTAAAATTTTTTTTCTTTGTGACGCCTTTTAAATTGGTTTACATTAGGTAAAAATTAGGTTTAACCTATGTATTTAGAACTTACCAAAATAATAGCCAAATAATTATTAAAAAATAAAAATACTGGTTAAAACAAAACAAACCATTGTATTCGAATCAGTATAACTTGAAACAGTTTCACGGTTCAGCTCGGATTTTCAGCTGGAATAAGTTTTTGTGGCAACAAATTTCTCACCACACAATGGCACTACTAAATGCATTTTATCACTCCTGTAGAACCCGTCCACCAGGCCTTGATATTATTCAGTTGAAAACAAACAAATGAGAGACAATAGATGGCGTATTTACATACAATTTAATAATATCGGTCGTATAGAATAATAAATCAAAATTCTATTAAAATAACGTATGTTTTCAGGCGAAAAAATAATAAGAATCAATTAGGAAAATGCGACGTACTCCGCGGATAAAAGCTAATACAACTGTAAAATTAGGAGGTATTTACACATAGCCGTAATCCATATAATATAAAAAATTTACAAATGAATAAATAGAGACATCATTTAAAATAATCATTAATAATCTAATTATCCAAATAAATACACTAAAGCTTACGACTTAAACATTAAATTATTATGATCGAAAATTATGCTTTCATATAAAAATAAAATAAAATTTCCAAATCAGATCATAAATCACCCGACCCGTAAACAATATAGGATCACTTCACATTTACATAAGTATTAAAAAAAACAACTTTGTGCCCATAGTACGAGATACAGTCATACAAGTAGATGCTAGTGAGACTACGAGCGTTCAACTGTGCAAGGGACGGAATACATCGTAAGTGTACTATCGCAAAACGAATCGTAAAAACCTGAACGGCATTGTAAAAAGTATTCTATTGTAATTATCAAAAAATTCAAAAACGTTTGAGCGGTTACATGTTCGTCAAAACGTCACCATTGTTTCATAAAACAGTGACAAATATAAAGTTTTCGTTGCTGTTTACAGCCTAACACGATTTACAAAATTTAATCACAGTGTAGTCGAATTCTCGATTCTATGTACATTTTTATTCCCAGTAGGGAGATATCGTATCAAAAAGTCTTCCCATAATCAAAGAACATGACCATGTTCCCCGCTTCGTGGCACCCTATTAGAGCAAATTTGTGACTTATCTAATTGATATTAATATAAAAAATCAATTAATCTAATGGCCGTGTAGTAACGAAATTGGCACTGTAATATAAAGAACCAATTATTAATCCATTAAACTGTAGAAAATAAAATCTTACAACAACGACTACGAGGATATTTTTTTTTTATATATATACTGGAAATTTTATTATTCAATCAATTCTAAATTTAGACTAGGTATAACGTGCTATATTATGAATTGTATACAAAACAGTCCAATGTGTATATAGGGCGGGTATATTGTATATTCATGAGGAATTCAACTAGATATCTATGTCTTATCCATTGTACTTATCATGCTATATACAACTCTAGTAATCCCCCTCGATGTCACTATATACCCACTATATATACACGAGCAATAAATCGAATCTATGTGTTACAATTTAATTATTACAGTCCCCTGTGCGTATATATATACGACTACATACGTAGATATATACTTAAAGTTGTCCAAAAGTGATCATAATAACATTATATTATATTTCACGTGCAAAATCTAACTTTTTGGTCATAAATATATTGATATACAAATTTTATCATTACAATATGATAATCTATACACATAAGTTACCAAACATAATTAAATGTCTGTCACGTTACGAGCGTTTGGTACAAAACGGCCGACGTTCCACTACCATCACAACTTGTCTTTTCAAATGTGCTAACTATTATGCTGTTCTGACAATACAGTTGAAAACTGGACGATCATTAATTGCGTACGGCTATCACAATTTCACTATACCCATAAAAATCTCATAAAAAAACATTAACACCGCTGCATTTGTCACTGCAGCATAAGAGATTCTAAGTTGCGATTGAGGATTGTGTCTTTGACTGAGTTGAAGACCACCTCTATGTTGTGTGTGTCTATGGCCGTGGTGAAGTGATGGTAGAGGGTTGTCTTTGGTTCCCTGCGGACATTTGCGAACATATTGAGCAGGTACATTTGTACGTCGCGTAAATTGTGCGGGTCCCCGGCGAACTGGGGGTAGTACCAGCGTATATCCGTCTCGTTGCTGGCGACTTTCTTCGCAAGCAGATCAGACTTGTTCAAGAATAGGATCACGGAGATGCCTCTGAAGTTAACGTTGTTGACGATTGTGTCGAAGATGTTCAACGCTTCCTCAAGACGATTTGTTTTTCTGAAATGAGATTAAAATGTAAATAAATAAATGACCTTTATGACTGTCATCCCCAATTGTGCAATTAAATGGATTATCGACCGGTATCGACAGACATCGACATACGGTAATGCAAACTTTATTAATGTTTTTTTTTTTCATATTCGTCCATCTCCTTTTCAGTGATGGAATAGGCAAAGATCCTTAGACCGTACAGCCGCAAACTTTGTTAATAAGTACCTATCTTTTATAACATCAATACAATGTTCAAGACAAGTATTGCCAGGTTTAATTTAATAAATAGGTGACTGTGTCGTCTATATTTGTCTCTCTCTATCTCATGGAAACTCAATCACACGTCTGTTATCCAATATTATAATGTACTATTTACCTAGAAATCAAATAGCCTACAAAATGCAATATAAAAAATTCATAATAAATAATTTAGTTTTAATAGAAGTATTTACTCAACTAGATAATTACAGAAAAAGTTAAATATTCGCCATGTCGGGTACAATTATTTAATTATTTAGCAACAACGCTTCCTACTGAAATAACCTTGCAGTTACATTAACATAGGAAGAGTAGCATAAATTATTAAATATTAATTACTACCTACTGTTTATATTATTTTCAACCAACTGCCGAAAACACTGAATACTGAATCTGAATTAAACTGCTGGTTCTCAAAACCGACGGAAGTAAATTAAATGAAAACTCTAAGTTTAATAACTGATTTAGACTATTATTGTTTTCCCTAGCAATTTAAACCAAAAATTTCTAAACCGACGGACAGTAAAAGCTTTACTTGAAACTTGCCCTTATTTGATACTCAACTTATCTAATATGTATATAAAATTCTCGTGTCACAATGTTAGTTACCATATTCCTCCAAAACGGCTTGACCTATTTATGAAATTTTATATACATATTCAATAAGTCTGAGGAATCGGCTGAGGAATTTTTCATACCTCGTAACATATTTTTGAATTTTTTGGACATACATATTTTAATTTATTTTTTTATAATGTGGCATTATAAAACACGACTCAAAATTTTCACTCTTCTATAACCAACTCTTATTTTTTAATAGCGGTTTTAATTTATATAACCAAACAATGTTTGTGGGATCGGCTGCTTTGTCTATATTTATCTAATACTGGTGTCCTTTAGCGTATACCGTTAGTGCAAACGGAAGCACGATACCATCATCATTAACAGAAAAAAATATATTTATGGTGCCGACTGTACAGAATTCTATGACCATTTATGCGCATAATTTATCTAAATCAAGTGAGAATAATCATCGGCTTGTATAAATAGGGTTTTGTTATAACTGTATGGTATGATTAGGTCACTATTAAAGCAAATAGGAAGATAGGAAGGCCATTGACCTCTTACATGATAATAGCGTTAGTATCAAGATTCAAGAGTACTTAACAGTAGTAGTAACAGTCACAGAGTTATTATTTTTTCTTTACTAATTACAATCATATTATACAAGTCATAAAGTATTTATCATACTACGGCAATATTTAAGAATTTACAGATTTTGCCAATCAGAAGACGAAACGCCACTACACATCCCATGTAGCCCGCTCATGCATAAACGAAATATCTCCTTTGCACAGTATAAACTATATATGTGATATAGCTCAGCTAATCATAAGTGTATTTATTATTAATAAAGACCTCCCGGTGGTCGAAATTTGTCTATAATTAATTTAACATTCAGTAAGACTACAGACAAATTATTAAAGTCATCCTCAATAACATGAAACACAGTTTTTTTTTTTATTGAACTAATGTATTTTAACTGCTTAAATTAATAGAAGAAATAGCATTCTGCACTGTATATACTACATATATAAACTATATATGGTAAATGTGCCAAATATGCCAATATATTTTGACGACTTGGCTGGCCTCACACAGCCTCTTCCGATCGGTGCGGGTTCGATTCCTTGCATGGTACTAACATTTTGTATTTATGAGTATGATTGTCTGATCTGTGTGTTTTCTATGTATATATATTTACAAAAAAAAAGTATTTATATCAGTTCTCCAATATCCACATGACAAGTTTTACTGAGCTTGGGACTAAATATGCCGCTGTGTGATTTGTCCAGAGTTATTATTATTAATATTATATGATAAATAAAATAATCTAATGTCTCTCCTTAAACAATACAATACAATCTATACTAATATTATAAAGCTGAAGGGTTTGTTCGTTTGAACGCGCTAATCACAGGAACTGCTGGTTCGAATTGAAAAATTCTTTTTGTGTCTAGTCCATTTGTCGAGGAAGGCTTTAAGCTATAAAATATAAAATTACGCTACTAAAAATAGAAGCAAAGCTGCAATGAAAAATATTGCAAGAGGTGGTGAAATGAAACGCAGACGAAGTTGTGCGGGTCAGCTAGTTAATAATAATCGTTAATTTAAGTCGTGAAGAATTACAAAATCCAAAAGTTTATACCTACGGAACCTTATCAATATGTCATCGATACAATCTTAGCGGCTTTTTATTTAATCTCTCGAAAATTACTTTTAATATATAGTTGATTTCAATCATGATAACTAGGGTCTAGGGTGTAATCATTATCATTATATTAGCGTATCTACAGTTCATTGGGCAACATATAAATACATTAATACCGATAATACCAAATAATAACAGAAGGGGAAGACAAGGTAACAAATTTAAATTACCTCCTAGGTTTCTCGGTGCACTAATTAAAAACATAACACCAAATCTGACCATCAACAATTCTTTTTTTTTTTATATGGACGTTTTTGAATACACTCTTATTCATTTTGGTCTTACGAGTTTTAAATATTTTCTTTTATACAAATCTTGTACGGATTGATATAAACAAATATAAAAAATCATAAAAAATAAATAGAGAATCGATTCACTTATATACGAGTATGTACGACTATTTAATTTTATTTGTGTAAATAATATCAGTATGTTTTGAACTTAAATGTATTATACTGTTTAAAATGTGACGCAGTCATTATTTATACGTATATTAGGAAAAACGGGATATTATCACGTTTTATTTATTTTTATTAAATTCCCGATATTTCAGCAGTGTTTCAACCGTGAAGACCACGCGTAACACTGCCAAAATATCGAGAAATCAATAAAAATATATAAAACAAATTTAAATTCATTCAATTTATTAATATATTTTTATTGATTTAATGTATTATTAAGTATAATTTAAAAAAATATTTGCATGTTGCACTCCTTCTCTATAAAGTATAAGTGTGCAAAATTTTATATTCCTCTGTCAAGCAATTTCCAGCAACCGCCGTTCATGCGTCCGCGCAATTTTCGTGAAAAGAGGTTCAAAGTTTTTGCTTCACATATTAATCTATTACTGTTAACCTTCTGAGAACATTATCCATAGTTAACGTACATATATTACAGCAAATAAATATATAGAGGCGGACGATTTTTTTCTACATACAGACAATGGCTCATGGGTGCGACCTTGTATCAATCGCCGGATGTCATTCTGAATCATTACATACACACAAACAATAACAGAATTTACTTTTAAAATAATAGTATATTTCAACAATAATAATATTGAAGATTTTCACGACTTTTATGCCGAATGGGGTAATGAGAGGCCGTGTTAACTATTAACGACGCCATATTCAAATGTGCTAAGTACACAAGGTGCTAATTATATGCATTTCCTGTTAAAGGCAGTGTTAATATAATATTATTACCATATAACTTCATATAACCGGTAAATTACTTAAAAATAATTATTTTATACGAAAATTCTTCCAAGCAAGTAAATAGATCTTTATTTAAGCAACAATGTAATTCATTCTCTTATAACACCATTCTATAAACGATAGCCAACAGCTGTATTTCAAACGCAAATTTAGTCAAACTGCATTTATTTTAATTAACATTATTCTTTCATAACTTTTATTTATTTACAAATTAATGACTTAACGATGATTAGGAACAAGAAATTCTATTGTTATTTAATATATGTCCTGCAGAAAGGGTTGCCAATAATTTATAATCAGTGTATATATATACTGATTATTAAACCTTCACATATTCACAGCGAGGATAAGCACTCGTATAATAATATCTAAACTCAATTTGTCTAAACCATATTATTAATTTTAATGTTGTAAATATTACGTCATTTGTGGTAACAACTCTAAAAATGTATATTATTTGTTTAAAACTACAAATTTAGTGCCCTAAGATAGTATTTAATTGAATAACCAGCGTCTTGTGTAACCGCAAATTTACTGTGCTCGATGCTAAGTTTACGATAAAGTTTATTTTTATTTATTAGCAATATCTCAAAGCCGGCCAATTTTTACGAGCGCGTAAATCTTGCGAGTCTATTAAAAATTTATAATATCCGATCTGAATAGTAGATAAATCATTTACTATCATCCTTTGAAGACTGGAATCGGTTTATTTTGCATTAAATTTCACGTGAAGCACAGGTTTAAACATAAATTATCATAGTTATATAGTTATCTGATCGAAATGGAATTTCCAAAAAGTCTTATCTCTTGTCATCAAATTTCTCAGTCCTCAAATTTGTATTGCGAGCTTTTTTTTTATACGACGATAGTGGCAAACAAGCGTACGGCCCATCTGATAGTAAACGGTTACCGTAGCCTATGGATATCTAAGACACCAGGAGCCTCACGTACTTGAGAAACCTTAATATAATTCTAAAAAAATTTTATGTTTTGGTTGTGAGATTAGACACTGAATGTACAGGATGAGAGGCATGACATCTTAGTGCTCAGGAAATACAACGCATTAGTTGTATCACGGGCAACAAGATAATTTGAAGACTATAGTATTTGCTGTTGATGCAACGAAAATCTGTACAAAATAGCAAGTGATAGATACTGTCCATGAATGATATTTCAGAAAAATCTTCATGGAGGGACTTCTTCAGCGTAATAGAACCCTATACAGTAATCGTAACAATTATATACTTATATATTTTTGTCTGTTTGTCTTTGCCTTAATCTGTTTGCGGTGCGTAATTATATTTTTAAGCATCACTTATAATGTTGAGTTAATTTTATTACCGATATGGTTTACAAAAAAAAAAGTTAAACGGTTATATGTAGTCCCAGACTCTGGTAGTTTTAAATATATCGTTTCAAATACCTTAATAAATCTACATTTAATACCTGCCGAATACATCGAAAACAAGACCACGCACGCAATACTTAATGTCATACTCCTATATCTGTGCAAGATCAAACATCAAACAAGACCGCCAGCAAATTTTCATATTGCGACCAAAAAACAATTCTTGAGATTCGCCGCGTCTATAAACAACGTAGCGGAGTGCTGTCAATCACCTAGATTCCATCTAACGTACATAAACCATCGTGGCTACAATAACTTTAGTCTTTCGTAGAAAACGTAAATTGTGTTTAATAGGAATAGTGAAAGAAATCCATATTTGATGAGCTAAAGCGCCGACTTTTCCGGACTGGTTTAGTGAGTACAAGTGATTAATTTAGTAGAAAAAAGCCTCTACTGGAATCTTTTATCAGTTGGGCAGAGCGACCCACTCAATTGTTCCCTTTTTGTTACATGTATATATTTTTACACTTCTGCGCTTGGACTTTGTATTATATATACGCTGACTCCTGACTGGGCACCAGTGAAAGAGGATAGGATGAGAAATCAAGTCTTAAACTTAAGCCATTATGACTAATTCAATAAGAATTGATAAAGATACCAACATTGCTAGCAATAGATATATTTTTACACTACTTTGTATTATATACAATAACTGAAGTGAAAGAGGATGATAAAGATTAAGCCATTATGACGAATTCAATAAGAATTGATAGATACCAACATTCCTAGCAATAGCGTAACTAGTGCCAATTACTAACAATTCCCTACTAATATACTGGACACAAAGAGATAGAGAACTGTTTGAAATGAAGTTGGCTACTATGTACAAAATTGCTCTATTAATTCTATAAACATTGGAAAGCGTAAAATATAAGATATAGCAGTTGCATTACAGATTCTAGAGCTTAGTCTTTACGAATAGCAAAGCACAGCGCTTATAATTTATGTCATGTCTATGATGCTATTCATAAACATAGGAGACTGTTATCACATTCCATCAGGAGGAACATTAAGTTAAATATGAATCTGTATGTTCATAAATATTGTATAAGCTCATTTGAAAAGAATAAGAGCTCAGTTTCTTGTCAGTTCTTGACTTGAACTACTAACTCGAGAGTAGTCCTAACTGACGATAGGTTTGACATCTGATAAGAATCTATGACCTACATGAATTAAAATATTTTGTTTTATTGATTGTATGATGAAAAAACAGCAAATATATTACCTGTCTTCTGACAAAACTTGGTCGAACTCCGAGGATGACACCAGAAACAATATCGACGTGACAGAGTCGAAACATTGCGTCCACTTTTGCCGCTGCGTCCTCTGCCCACCTACGTCCACGAATACGAACGGTACGTTGTTAATGTTTATTGTGCATTCCGAGATTCCTTTGGTAGCCTTCCGGCAATGTAGGATGTCTTGGTGGGATGGCACGTAGTCCGGCCGAGCTATGCGTTCCAAGTCGTCGAAGAAGTAACTCACTGAGTCGCTCTGAAATTTAATAAACGATGATGAATTTAATATATGTTAAAGAGCATGCATATGCATAAGACAATAAGCAAATGCCTTAACTCGTGAACGCTTGCAATATCAATGGATTCCATTTTATAATGTAAATGGAATAGGAAACAAGTTTACAACAAACCAATAGGGGGAAGAGGATTACTGGTAACGTGGACAAATTATCCCAATGGTAGTAATGTACCATGTCAGGTTGACCTCAAAGCGGTCCCCTCTGCAAACCATCAAATTAAATTCCTGGAGAATTTCCCTCGATGGTCAACTAACCTGACCTCATATTCATCTTATCATTCTCCACTGGTGCCCCGTCAGTGTAAACCGTTAGCGCAGGCGGGTGCACCATTCCAATATCATCCATTATTAAAAATCAGCCAACTATCGCCTATATACTTGAATAGTACCCTGACCATAACATAGTCATATGCCCTTGCTGTACCGCTCATGCATAACCATTCTAAAGGTTATACAGAGGGATAAGTGTATAATCGCCATCTATAATATTACCGACCATTGTAACAGTATTAATATAGTTGGTCAGGCCCATCATGAATAATTTGATAATAAATGATTTATTTACCTCACTCGACGTTTCGACAAAAAACTAGGTTACATTAGGCGTGGTCACGAGCAGACCACCAAAATTTACCATTAAATTATACATGTTTAGTCAATATATATTAATAGTGTGTACTAAATATGAGATTTATAAGTAACTAGCGATAGTATACTCTAGCTAGTATTAGTAATGTGGACTCATGAGCCCATTGTTAGCAATGTACCATGTCAGATTGACCTCCATGCGGTTTCCTCTAGACACCATTATATTAAATTCTTGGTTAATTTGTCACGATAGGCTAACTGACCTGTTCTCATATTCATCTTATCATCCTCATAACTAGACTTATGCCTCACGCCGGCTACAGAGATTCTTGACAAAAATTACATTATTATCACGACGATTTATGAAACAAAAAAGTGCAATGTGCAATGTATGTACTGTGTAATCCAGATAACGGATGGTAGTCATTTAACAGGTGTTTAATTATTGTGCTTCCGTAATTTTTAGAAATCATACTGTTGATAAGGAGTTGATAATTGATTGGCTCCTCACATAGAATGAAACAAAGTAATCGCCACTTTCTTTCGCTTATATCATTTAAATTACGTAACGGATGTTAATTCAGTTTTCAGCATTAGATAAAGTAATTCAAGAGGAAGGTTTATATGTGTAATACATGCTTGTTGTAGCAAAGAAATTCAGAGATTTGTAATGCATCCGTGCGAAGCCGGGACGGGTCGGTAGTTATAATATAAATAACGTTAAAAATAATGTCAATAAGGTGTGGTTAGTGCATATTGCACAGTAGATTTTTTGTGGCAAATGGCATTCACGATGTAAGTGATACCGGTGGTTTTAAAAGACATGCTATATTAATAGCCTCGATGACATGCCATGACTTTTGAATAAAACTAAACCTACGCAGATAGAACATATACTATATTAACATCACAAAACTAATTAGTAGTTACGTTATAAACTAATAATCAATAGATTAGAGTTGCGTAATTACATAAAAATAATTACTACTACCAGTAGGTGTATAGAAACGGTGGGGTACATGTTCGACGACCTCCGCGATGTGATAAGAAGGTTCTGGATAGAGGCAATTAATTTATATGAACTCAAGTATGGATATTTTGGTTTACAGTACCCAGGTATAAGCTTATTCATTTCCTATCTTATAAGAAACGACATAAGGTATATTATGTCAATTCTTAATTTCTAATCACATAGGAAATCCTATTATATTTCTACTATATACTAACTGTACTGTACTACTATAGTCTACAGAATAATAAAGGAATAAAACTCAAAGGATTCCATATTATTCTACACGAAATGATTAAACTAGGAAAGAATTTTATATCCATATATTGAATTTGCTTCTTCTATTTTTGAATACTTTTGTTTCCTAGCACTATGTCGTAAAATATGTGCGTGTGTAAATGTTAAATAAATGAAATATCTATCTATACTTACTATAATATTGTATGTGCTTTGGTTGGTTACGAAAATAAATAAATAAATCTACTCTAGTCCGATTGAGAAATAAAAATGGCTTAATTTACCTTACAATTACATTTCATTATATATTATTTCATGGCGAAAAGATAGTTCATTTATACCATAAGAGAAACATTTAAATAGGATTTTACATGTAAAAAAACGAGTTTAATTATATAGTCAGTTATAAAACATTTTTTATTTCCCCTGTCCAAAGGCTATAAAAATTCCTTGATGATAAGAGCCACAAAGGCAGTGTTTTATGAATAAGTGTATTACATTATATGGACATTGACTTTGAACAATGGGTATTACAAAAGTATATATACAAATACATTGAACAAGCTAAGAAGACTGTGAATACCTGAGTAATTAAAAATACCAGAGACAAAATGCAAAAGTAGGTATACTGTTTATATACCTAACTAGCTGACACGCGCAACTTCGTCTGCGTTTCATTTCACCACCTTTTGCAATATTTTTCATTGCAGCTCAGCTCCTATTAGTCCTAGCGTAATGTTATATAGCTTAAAGCCTTCTTCGACAAATGGACTATCCAACACAAAAAGAATTTTTCAATTCAAACCAGTAGTTCCTGACATTAGCGCGTTCAAACAAATTCTTCAGTTTTATAATATTAGTATAGATATAGATAATAATATATAATAATAATTATAACCCTACGACAATTTACACAGCGCTGTATAGTCATAAGCTAAGCAGAGCTTGTGTTATAGATACTAGACAATTGATATATAAATATTAGATACTTTATTTTTATAAATACACATACGTAATATAAATAGAAAAACAGACTAATACAAACAATCATACTTATAAATACAAATATGTGGTCTGTGCTAGGAATCGAACCCGCGACCCCCGATGGTCGCAAGTGGACATGAATTTTGTCTAACTATTAAATTTAATACATATTTGTCTATATTGCCTATATACGATTATATACCAAATTTATTTCTCTTTGTACCCTATTTCTAGGGTACATAGAGAAATAATTTCTGAGAATTTGGCAGTGAAATTAAAGGATACAGAGAAATAACCTTGATCCTCTTAATTGACAATACATGACCACATGATATTGATACATGAGATGTTAAAATATATTTTGTGATACCTATCTTTGTATGTATAAGAAGCAATAGTTATCATATAACTTTCGATATCATCTTGTTTAATATTCTAGTCACAGTAAAAGTGAAATCTCTAAGTACATATGCATGCTACCTTAGTATTCATGAATATCAACACATAAGGTGTACTATGGTTATTAGGGTATATCCTATTGTGTAAGTGCTGCCTTCTGCATAATACCCTCAATCACAAGCTACTTGAATTTTGAAGTGAGTGAAACAAATTAATAATCAGACAACTTTGTGTAAAGTCTACTATTGATATACATATTCATATTTATACACGACTTTTACCATTCCTCTGACAACCTTGGTGGTCTAGCGGATTAACTCACCGCTTTACTTCTGATGGTCGCTGGTTCGATACCTTTCAGTATGCAAGATTTATATTCATGAGTATGATTAATTGTATTAGTCTAGGTGTTTTTTATGTGTATTATGTATGTCAGTTATGTCAAAGATATGGCCCGCGATAGCAATGTGATTTTAACAACCGTGTTATATACTATATAATTAAATAAATAAAATGTTATAATAATTCAGTACATTTCTTTTATTTGCATCTGACCCGCCTACACAAACATTTACATACAATGTATATACAAAAATTTTATATATGGCCCTATGCAAAATTGAGTGTGATACCTCGATGTATGTATTTAAGGAAAAAATGATTATAAGTATTCCGATCTGTTGTCAGGTACCCATTACGTATTTGAATTGTCCTGGATTGTTATTATTAATTATCCATTTCAACTCCTATAGAAAGATCATCAAATTCTTTAACTAAAATTCCTTATGAGAGCGATATGCGTACGAAAAATCTGTACATCGAACTATCTACTTCAGTAGAGCACATTTCCTGTGTATATTACGCCGGCCGCGATACATACTCGAACGGGGCAACGTGTTTAACCACACTGCTACAGGGGTCGTCAACATAAAAACATTATATTTTTTAAATATGAATATCCAAGCGGGTTTGTGGTAAGTGGCCACCATCGTGTTAGACATCTGCACAGGTAAGGGCATAACAGGTTCATCAATATTCTAAGGATGTGGAATTCTCGGAGTGTTGTGTTAATGCCATTGAACATCAAACCAGAGTACAACAATGTGTAGTAAACTAGGAAATGTATAGAAAACTAGCCTCCACCCGAGATTTGTCGGTTTACACTCAAAGTAGAGCATTTTAGGGACAAAATCACGAACAATCAAAGCCGTTAATAGAAAAAAACACTACTATGGGCGAAGGAGTTGTATATGTATTATTATGCTGGTGATTACAATTATGGAAAGACGGCGGTTTGTAGGAAGAAATAGTATATTTAATATGTATAGAATAAAACACAGATAAAATAAGAAAGAATGACATTACAATATATTTTTCTATATAAAATAAAGACAATAAGAAAAACAAATTCATAAAAAGGTACGTGGTGAACAATTACTATACAATATAATATTATAACTGTGAATAAGATTATTACAGATCCCGTCCTGAACACAGATGGCAGAATTGAGAAGAGCGTTGCCGCTTTATATTCCGCTCAATATGCACAAGCCCAAGGAGGCCCTATTAAGTAATGTTAAGTGATGTTTGTCTAGTATACAGTCTACAGAGATAGATGCCGGAACTTACTATGGATGCCAAAGTAAATTCGTATTAAGAACGTGTAAATGATTACCGAGAACTTGTTGAATCTCCAAGTTTAGTTTCGGATACATTTTGTTAATACCAAGATATCATGACC